CAGCAATCACACAAATTGCCACTTACCTGCATGCAATAGATGACTACTAAATGCTCCCAAGTAACAGGCTTAAAACCTACGACAATTTCTACACAGTTAGATACTATCCTATGTGGCTGCCTCAACCATTAAAATTAAAATTGGCACCCTGTACATCACTATACTCAGAACTTTTTCTGGAAATTCATTTCATGGGACCTCAGATTATGTTTGAGATGGACCTTGTTCTACATGCTTCCTCACCATTTCCCCCCAATATTAATATTAATTTGAAGGGGAAGTTCATGTCTGACCTCAAGATGAAAAAGAGATAGTGTGAGGCAGAAACCACTGGAAAATGAAGTCGGGGCATCTCCCTTTAAATAAGCATGGGTTCCTTCCTGATTAATTTCTTCCTACATGAACTGAGCTGCTCCCAGTCCAAATACAATCTCCCAAACTATTAACTGTCTTCTGTCCTTAAAGTGTTAGTAAATCCTTAAAGGGCAGAAGAGAGACCATACATGTATGCAAATGTAGCCACCACAGAATTGTACTGGGTTTCTTTGTTATCATTCTACTGGCAGCAACTTTCACTTTGCCTTCTGACATTAAATTTCCTATTTACCCCACTGAAAAAGTAGAAACTGGGCATCAAATGCATGCCAGTTTAAATTCTGATATTTATAGCAGCTTTGCCAGATAATACCAGTTTCCCAGAACATATATTCTAACTTATCAAAGACACTTGTTGGGGAACATGCAACAGCACAGACCAAGTTTTAAATTAATAAATCTAACTCACTTTATTTTCTCCACTGCACCCACTGTTGTTATCATTATCTTCACCCTCACCCTCCTCCTCCTCCTCCTCCTCCTCTTCTTCCTCTTCTGGTAGTGGTACAGTGCCATCATAGCCATAAAGGCTAAGAAGCTCATGAATTGGCATATCACCTTCCTAAAAAGAATTAAAACAGGAAATTATAATAATTCCATCAAATTTTTATCAGTGTTGTAATCTGCATGTTGACTAATGCTCCCCCCCAGCCCTGGAAAACAGATGTCAACCTATGTCCTCTGACTAAAATCTACCTGTTTTCTATCTAAAGGAGAGAAAAGAAAAGAGGACTTACTGATGCAGTTTGTTATGGCAACAGCACAGCAATCTGTGCTTCAAGGTCTAAGAAAAATATGAAGGAACAATAATTCCTTGCGGTATACTTCCTGCCATGCATAGTCTCTCACTTTGATATAATGTTACTCTGCAAACAAAGGGCAACAAATATTTGAAGAAAAGCTTACAGATGGTTAAAGGTATCTTCTGAATAAACTAACAGCATCTATTTTTCAACAGTGCTAGTATGTGTGTGCATTTGTGCACATGAGCATGTGCACACATGCACACACAAAGATATATGTGTAAAATCACATGTATGCATTTTGGAAAAAACTAAGCATAATTTTACATAAAAATATTCTTGTGTTTAATTACATAAAATATTCTTGTGATTAATGTAGGGATAAATTATATCTGTTATAATTATTTATTTCAATAGATTTTCCCCACTACTGAATCCAGCAGTGAGTTACATATTTGATTTGGTCACAAATATGTTAAAATCCTCTACCCTGCTCACCCTGACACCAATAAACACTTCTTTAAAAAAAATACAACTGACAACTGCAGAGATACACTAACAGACATTAACAAAAAAAAAAAAAAAACCCACAAAGAAGAATGAAACAAGTGAAAGGAAACTGATAGCAGTGTTTTTCAATTCTTTGTGATATCTAAGGCTTGTATATGTGGATTAATATGATAATGGTTTAAGGTATTTTAAGTATTATAAAATAAGTGGATCAGACAGACCAACTATTTGTCATATGTGTTGAATAACCTGATACACAGATTAATGACACCCAATCATATGGAAATTAAACAGCATGTCAGTCCCAAAATATCCTGAGGACTACTCTCAATATTAAACAAACCACCCATGGGCTAAAGTATTGAGACATAGGCAGCTATATTGTCCATGCTATAACCACCACCACCCAATGCTTCTGACCTTCACTATCATATCTTGTACGAACATCTTGTCATTTGACTGGCATGTAGTATTACACCATGAAGGAACCAGGACATTTGAAGAGACACAAATTTCTCTGCTGCCATTTGCTATTACCAAAAAATATGAGGGAAGATGTCTGATAAATTAAATACTGTACTTATTGCCTGGCAGTAGGACCTGTAATGTTTTCATAAACTTGGGGATATTCCCATTGATCCCATTCCCCAACCAGGTTTGCCAATCCATTACTTTGATTTCAAGAAGTAAAGGATGTTTTTAATATTGTGAAGCCACTCTGATTTCCAGTTTGGGGGGAAAAGCAGTATACTAATCATCAACATCATCATCATCATCACAGGAAATCATTAACAAAGAAATTAAAAGCAATTTTAATACTCAGTTCAACTGACTGAAAGTAATCTATAAAGCTATATAAAGATAAAAGTTCAAAATTGTGCTAAGGGAAAGAACTTAATGTATGTGCATCAAATGGCTTACTTGGAAATATTTTATAATAAGTATCTTCTGACCTCTGTACTACACATATACACTATAAAATTTTTCATATCCTCTATTTTTATTTTCTATGAAAAAATAAGAATACAAAGAGAAAGCACATGAATCTTATAATATTCAATGAAGTGCCATAAAGAATCTTTCTCCCAGTATGTGAACTGGGATTCTGGCATGCTGGACAAGAATCTTCACTCTGAAGGTTGTTTCAGATTTTGGGTGACAGAACTGATTCTCCACCTATTGCTACGTAACATTTTATATGTTTTTCTATCAAGACAGATGATCCAACAGGTACTAAGCAATCTCACTGTGTATTTTATCCTGTCATGAGCTGTTTCCATGAGTGAACGAAAATAACATCAACACAGAAATGCAAGCAGAGCAAAAGAGAGAGAGAGAGAAGAAGAAGAAGAAGAAGAAGAAATAATTTTACTGGTCAAATCAACAGAGAGCACAGTATATTATATTACAGAGCAATGCTTATATTCTGTAATTTAGGCTGCATGCAGTAGGACTTCCTTGAAGACTCCTCATGTTCTTCATTTAATTGCTATTGTGGTGCTATTCTGAAATATATCTATATATATTTCCAAAACAGCTAGTTTCCAAGACAGCCATTGCAGTGGTTTGAGTACTGGAATAGGACTTTGGGAGAAAAGGTTCAAATCCAAACTCAGCCATGGAAACCCACTATTTGAACTTGGGCAAGTCAAACTTTCTCCGTCTAAGTGAAAGGCAAAGGCACACCTCCTCTGAACAGAACGTGAAAGAAAATCTGATGATAGAATAGCCATAAATTGGAGTTGACATGAAGGTGCATAATAACAAATATTTCCATGTAATAAACTATACCATTTCCAAGATTTTCCCACATATCTGCATTACAATGTGAATAAATATAGTTTTTGAAATTTGTTTAAAATATTTTCTAGCATTTACCCTTGTAAGATCTTCTATTTCTGAACTGAAGTTTGTTTCACCTTCCATCATTTCTTCTTCTTCTAGTGTTCGTTCATCATCAAAATCATGAATCAGCATGTCAGCTGTTGGGTCAAATTCTTGGTCATCTGATGTCGCAGACCCTCCTAAAATTTGATAAATAATTTCAGGGTTGAGCTTGATCATGAATTTGAGAGCATCACTGCTAATAATTTAAAACCAAAACTTACATATAAATAAGTTTTCTGCAAAAGGCATCTTTCTAAACAGCCAAACAATTTTCAGGTAAACTATCACATTACTTAAAGACTATCAGAAATCAAAGACTGATGATATCTGACAATACAATTCTACACATGTCTATCACATACAGTAGTAGGATTCAAGTCCTACTAAGGTGAATAGGGCTTACTGCCAGTTAAAGAGTTAGGATCGCAGCCCAAGACTTGTGAACACACCCTGTGTTATAAATAGATAAGATGTTAATTCATTTCCCATAAAACCAAGCTATAAGCACCTTAGTGCCTATAGGAGAAAAAAAATGATCTTAGGATACTGCAGCATGTATCCAAAATTTCACCTTAGCAGTGGAGAAAACACATACTCATTTCTGGCGATGAGAACCAAAGATATTAGAAGTACTTTCCCAAAATGATCCCACTGTACATTGGTGCAATTGTTATTTCACTACAAAACAGCATTTGCCACCACCACTAACCTAAGTGCTAGTACTAAGATTTGTATCTATATCTATATAAATAGATATCCTTATCCCCGCTCTGCACTGATTAATTACTGTAGTTTGGATCTCAAGAGCCTTCCTCACACACATTGCTGCTCCCAAAGACCTCATAAATCTCAAGGGGCATTTGGGAGTAGAAACATAATAGAATGGAGGGAAGCAATATCTAGACAAACAGAAATTTCCTGGAAGTTATTTGGATATAAGCCATCCTCTAGTAAGTTCAACCCGGAGAAGTGTCTGTCACAGAATACAGCTATGTGATGCATTCCACAGCTATGCCAAACTTTCATTTCTAGCAATATTATATAAATATAGTATCAATATCATAATAAAAATTTACCTGGGCTCGCTGATTCAACAGAAGGCTATTCAAGGGGAGAAAAAGAAAAGGTTAGCTGTGTCATACCATCTATTTAGCAACACATCAAAATATACTAAATGGCAATTAATGCTTTATTTTCACAGTTTGCATTTAAATCAAATACCGTATTTTCCGGCGTATAAGA